GGGGGGGGGGGGGCGGACAACGCAAATGACCTCTAATCTAAGAATCACTTAGCTCACACAATAGGGATTGTTATTACTTACTTGACGAAACTTCTTTCAAATTATGGGGTTATACCACGCACAATAAAATAAAAATAGCAGATTAGCAAACGTGAAAGTAAAGTTATCCCTGAGCACAATCAACGCACCACGAAGGCGAATAGGGGACGTGGAAGTAAATCTCCACGCATTAATTTCAACATTAGATGGAAGAGTATGGTAATTCTCCGATTATCTTTCTGTCTGGTACTCACAAAATAAGAGGCTGAAAGAATCGACAAAGAAAAGACGTCCATATTTTTTTTTAACCTACGTTAAGTGGTATCGTCAGATTAAAAATTGACAGTAGTTAAAACTCTTCTGAAGCAACATTGGCCGTAAGATTTGGTAGGACAAACACGCGGCCTACCACAACCCAGGATTAGACCCAAATGCGCCACAAGGAACACTAAAAACACTGAAAACACTAAAAACACTGGGCGAACTGTGGCCTATATTACAGGGATATGACATGTAAAAAAAAAAATAACATTAACAACTCAATACAGGAAACAAATTCTTCGAGGGCCGTAGCGTGTAACGAGAAGTTTCAACTTTTGTACAGACACAATGAGTTTTATGTGCTATACTGCAGAACCATAAAAAGTGACATTACACGATAAACAAAACTGCTATGATTTTTCCACATTTTCCTTTAACTTGTCAGTTTCTTTTCGTATCCTTTCCAATTCATTATTCGTTATCATCCAACAACTCAACGCTTCTAAGCTAATGACGTAGCTAAATAAACACTCGATATGGAGATTTTAAAATAATTAAGCAAATAATATCAACATGCGATATGGTCTGATTATCCATGACTACTAAACATTTGGAATTTCGATGTATTCATTACTATTTAAACCAAGTTAGGTTAAGTTTATAGATGAAATAAATCATCAAAACTGATGGATTTAAATCTAAACCACATTCAAAGCTCCCAGGGCCGGCACGAGCCTAAATAACGCTCCTGGTTACAACTTTTTCAAAAATTCATCACAATGATATATTACGTATATTTAATGGATTTAAAAGTTAGTCAGACCGACCTTAGTACATGGAACAAGACAAAGTGCAAAACGTGATGACTAAAATTTAAAATATCACGAAATTAGGCACAGAATTTGACAATATCACATAACATATTTATGACGAAAAAATTATGGGGAAAATTTATATATAGCAAATGTTTAGTGGTCGCTTGGTTCGTCTTTATTTGTTAATCAAATTTCATGCCCAATAATAAATCAAGAGGCATTTTTAGAGTGATTACCAGCCCCTGTAACCTGTCTCTGCATTGTGACAAACACGAACTGAAATATGTTGCTTTGAACAATTATAGAAGATTATTCTTACCATTATGGACTGTGCAACTTATATATTCATTAATTTTCAGGCAATTAATATGAAAAAATCAGTTAGGCCTAAAGCTACGAAAATCTTAAGCTAATTTTATAAACTATTATATAAAGTATGGCTAAAATTAAATAGCTATAATTGTGCGAAGTTTGATCAAGATAAATCGATTATCACATCATTGGTATTTATAATTTGATATAACTTCCCCTAGAAATAATACATAGCATTTTAACAGAATATTTACATGCAGTATGATATAAAATATTAGACAGACGCCAAATTATAACAGCTAAAGAAATAACACTTGCACCTAAAACAGAGATGTCAGAAATGAGACAGTTGTATGTGGGATTTGAGGTTTTCCCGGCGGTGACTTTGAAGATGGTTGTATTCTGGGTTGTCGCGCCGTGTAATCTGGCAGAAGTTTGCCAACGTTTCAGAGGTCCTTGCTGCCTCCATCATCAGGACTACCAGACTACATGGCACAACAACCCAGAAGACGACCATTTTCAGACAGCTGGGGGGGGGGGGGGCTCAAACACTGCTTGCCTTTAGGCTTTGCCAAAAATGATTCATTTTCTTCCCTTAGCAATTCACAGTTACTCAGATTTCAGAAAACTCCTCACTAAGGAAACCTGAATCTTTAACATAGTCACAATAGTCTATCTGATCACACCCTGGGTTTTTTAATTAAAATACACATCCAAAAACTCATTTTTATTATATTAATTTAAATTTATTTATTCCATGTACACTTTATATCCTGCGATGTTTCTTTACATTAAGTTTCCGAACCGCAGTTCAACAATATTCTTAGCTGGAAGTAGTCATATTCAGCCTTACCTGCAGCAGATGCCAGTAGCACCAACAGAAGAGATAATAGGAGTATTACCCCCATGGACTTCACTTGCTTTGCCATGCTGGCAGCACAAACCCACAAGAGCTGCCATTACGTCCTGACAGCGTTTATATAGCCTCCATTTCATGAATTGGTGGGGGCAGGCAATCACATCAGCAAAGCTTACATAAGAGCCAGGCATGCCACCATTACTGTTCAGTCTGTCCAAATACTGGGTGACTGCCCGAATGTTTGTTTGTCTATCTGAATAACAGATTGACTAAAGCAATTGAAATTCTTCATAAACTAATGTTTGCTGACTGATCTGCATTAACCAAACATTGCTTTGCAGGTCTGGTTTGATGAATGAAAACTTGCTCTATTCATATATGCAGGCCCATTTAATATGTCACTGACGAAATATTTTGCCCTGTTTGTATTTAATATTTCCTAAAAGATATTATTTACAGTGAAAACCATAATTAAAAAATTATTCATGTATAGTCGGCGCAGTAGTTTTTGGCCGGTGGAGAAGCTAGCGGAGCTGGCGGACGGGCCTAGTCTGTGTACCTGAGGTGGCACGGTCAGTGTATTTCTCGGTGCAGTCAGCATTATACTATCGCAAAAGAGACTCGCTCCTAGCCTTCCCCTTGAAAATTTCACCGGCCAAAACCTACTGCGCCAACTATACTTCGTATGATCAAAGTAATCTTATTTAACTTTGACACTAACAGGTATATCCTAAATATGTGCCATACGTGAACTTTGTTAACAAAATTATAGACGTATTTAATAACGTGGGTGACAATATTTTGGCTTGTAATGCCACGTAGTCTTGTATGTGGTTACTAGCATTCTGGAAGACCACAGGGCATCACAACAAAAACTAACATCGACATCCCTGCCATGAGAACCTCAAATCTGTAACTAGCTTCATTAATGAATCTGTCAGAGGAATTACTAAAGAATATCAATATATAAACCCAAGGTTTCAGGTGTGTCAGAATATATCGACATGATTCCATTTATTGGTTGTGCATATATCAATGTATTTACGTCTATTAGTGACTAGCAGCCGGTGGATATGATGACATAAAGTTCACCAGGCCCTTTGACATTCAAGATAACTGCAGCAAACTTGAACATTATCTAAAAGTACACAAAACAAAGTAAGGCCCCATGAGACTCCACTAAAGTTCACAAACATAATTGTTTTGTGATTAGTAAGGAACATATGACAATGTGATTATTCTGGATTTTGATGACATGTAAACTCATACATTGATATGTACCTGTATCATCATTCTCACACCATCATCAGATCTCATAAATAACATTCGACTGTATTATTATTACCACGGACCTCAGAGGTACAACCGGATGTCTCTGTTCACCAATATGACGTGGTTGAGCACAATGATACAAGCAAGGGTGGCACACGGCCCACAAAACTTGCATCGTAATACGCATCTTAAAATGATGCATTTTCACCTGAAATATTTCACGTCTTTTCATTTTAGCAAGGCGCAGATCATACGAATAAACATAACTTTTACAATATTATCGATTGCGTAAGACTGATAAGCAGAAGATGTTAGTCCCGTTTTGGCGATTATATTTCATATTGCTAATTGTACAATAGGCACAAGGAATTTCAATATTTTCAGTAATTTGCAATGTACTTGTTTATTAGGATAAAATCAGTTTATGATGTTTATAGAATAAATTACTTGAGTTGTAAGGGCCTGACGTATATTATAGATAATTTATCGAATCACAATTGGAAAGAAAGTCATCCTTGTAAACAATTTCCGTGTTACTCATTTTAAGAAGATTTTTTTTTTTTTTAAAACAATTCACAACCGCCTCCATCCTATCCCTTTCCAATAAATCACATAGAAACTATTTCTCAGATTTTTAAAATATATCAATCTAAACAACTGTATATTACTTACAAATATCCTCCAAAGGTAACACAATATATCCAAATACATCACTGATTTTTTTATGCTATTTAATTTGAAAATTTCGTGTGCACCTCTTCGTATCAACTATGTTCTTCTGGGTTGTGACGCAGTGTAGACTCGTAAAATTTGAGGTTTTCACAGCGGTGAGTATGTAGATTTCTGTCTTCTGGGTTGTTGCGCTGTGTAGTCTGGTCGATGTTAACCAACGTTTCAGGGCGATGAATCTACCAGACTACACAGTGCAACAACCCACAAGACAGAAATCTTCAGTGTAGACTCGTAATCTACCTACACGTGTACACGGCATCACAATTCAGGAAAACAACACCGTCAATTTCATCGTTTCCAATTCTCCAATCTCAATTCTTCATATCATATCTAGCTTTGCCAACTAATGTAGCTTGCGGATCACGCAGAAATAAAACGCATCCTCGTGGAAGATACAGGCCTATCTGAATGGTAAACCGGTCCGGCCACATTCTCAAATTAAGTCCTTGAATAGTTAGTCAATAACTAATTATACTCTTCTGAGAAGCAAAATAGTTTGTTTATGAAAACATTCAACATAAACCATGCTAATATTTGAAGACTGCGGTCTTCCAGATTGTCGAGCCGTGTAGTCTGATAGAAGGAAAAATCGGGGTGCCCACAAGCCTAACAACTTGACCATAAACTGAACGTCACAGTGATAATTATTTATCCTTTTCAATCGGAATGTCCCAGATTCGATTCTCGACCCTGAAGCCGGGTATTCTGACAATATTTCATGGTTTTCCCAACAACTGTGTGAAGAATGTTTCAGAACAGTCTACGGCCACTTCTTCCTGTACAATTTCCAATTCATTTCTCGTCATCTCCTATTCGAAGCTGTACAAAGTATGCAGATAGAGCGATGTTAAGTAAACAAGAAACCCAATGGCCCCAAGTAGAAAGAGTTTGTTGGTCTCCCTGTACAGCAAGGCACATGCTCGATTAGTGGCAATTCAACGAGCTGATTAAGCATCAACCATCTGAAAACGAGTGAGATGATGATGATGATGATGATGATGATAATGTCTGTAACAGATGCAACCCCACCAGAACTGCATGCAAAAGCAAACACACAGTCAATAAATATATTAGATATCAAACAGAACTCTGTTATAAGTAACTCAAATATCTGACGCGAAAAGAGTACAAAAATATATAAAATTCATTGGTCCTCTCCGTCAATTCTATATTTAAAGGGGGGGGGGGTATGATCATGGTGCCGCACACATCGTACTTAGATGTCCTTGGTTCGAAACAAGAAACAGGTTGTCGTGTTTTATGATTTTTCCACCGTCAGCGTAACCAACAGACACCTAGCTAATAAGCCACGCTGCAGCTAACTAATAATGTATTTGATCTCATCGGTTCTACTGTGTTCTGGCGTATGGAGTACCACTGTAACCACGAAAGTAAGGCAGAAGAATTCTATTTATTTTTAAAGTGTTAGCTGGGCCCCTCGTGTACCCTTTTCTTTCAAAAAAAAAGTATGCCTTTTTTCACTTTACCAAAATGTATGTTCATTCTCCTGTTTTCTCCTTTGTAATTAGAATTAAAATGTTAATTGCGTGCATTATGCCAATATAATTTCAGTGATATTCCTAGAAATTTTGTTTATATGAAAAGTTGGACTTCAAATTTCTCTTCTAGCCATGCCAAACTGAATTAACTATTAAGAAATATTTATGACCACATGGTGAACAATTTTGCTCATATCTAGTAAAGAAGGATCCTTAATATATCTAATTTTAGAAACTAAAAACCTAGATGAAGAATGATGAAAGACTCTCGGGTAACAAACCGCATCAGGTGGCTGAATGGTGAATGAACCATTTTATCCGCCAACGTTTCGAGAGCCATCTCTGCTCCCATCCTCAGGGAAGCTGCGAAACGAAACTGGTCCTATGTAGCGCTCCACCTGACGTGGCTTGTTACCTGAGAGTCTTTCATCAACTTCGGTCGCCGCGAAAGCTTCACTTTATACACTAGATGAAGAATGTTTTAATAGATAAGCGTGTGGCAATTATTCCATAAATCTCACAAAGATGTATACTGCATCTACAGATACCAAATGGCACTTTTATTTATGGTGGAGGGGAGATCAGCTTTTATAAGATGAAAGGGATGAAGTTACCGAACTAATATTAGAAGTTATATTGCATTAATGTGAGCTACAAATATCCTTTCTTGCATTTCTAATTATTCAGCTGCTTCATATTTATACATCAAAGAGATAATTGTTGCTAGCCAGATAGCGTGTCTACTAATGAGTACAACTGTAGTTGCATCCGCAAATTTCCAGACATTCTTATCTTGAACTAAAACTGATGACAAATGGAAGACTGAGCAACTAACTAACTGATGACAGAGGCAGTATGACCTCTGAAACATTGGTTAACATCGACCAGTCTACACAGCACAACAACCCAGAAGACAGAAATCTTCAACCGAACAGTTAATTCTATAATGAAATTTATATGAACTTGATTCATTAAGTGTTGTCTATCTCACAGAAAACAAGCTTTCCATTCAATGTTATAAATTCACAAAACTTAAAAGAAAAGAAAAATCAGTCAATTTTGCTGACATCGGAAATTGGCATCATTTCATTCTAAATTCGGCTCTTATCATTAGGGCCAGTGACCTTTAACTCATCATGATAGTGACCACACTATATTACAGCTATGTTGATTTTGACTTGAGATGTCTTATGGCAGATATCAAGTGTCTCTGCAAACTTGAATTTCTCTGGGGTTTTTTCAGTCAAATATCTTGATAAATTGTATTACTGCATCCACAAAATGTAATTACAGCATTTTATAAAACACAACAGTTATAAAAACCGTCTGCCTTAAATATGTGTTTGTTCAAGATTTCTCTAATTAACAGCATTTATTCTAGTGCCTGAGCACTGCGGGTCCCAACTTATCGTTGGCTTTGATCTATAGACATTCGGTAGGACTCCTTGGACGAGATTTATTCTACAGAATAAGCAATGCTTATTTTGCTAACCATTTTAATCAGCTAATGTCAGTAACAGTTTTATTGTGTTTAGTTGGTAACAGTGACCAACAGATTGTCCAAGAAGGCACTGTAATCCTTTGTTAGTTAATTGTAATACTCATAATACA